TCAAATTACAACAGGTTAATTAAGTTCCACAAAGTATTTTCCTCAGGATATACAAAACTAAACTCTGATGAAGTCTGCAATAAAATGCCAAACTGTGCTCACTCCAGCCAACTAGATTTGATGAACTTTAGATTTTAAATAGCAATGATTTTTTTTTTGACAGAAGAAATATTCTCTCTTTTTTTAAGAAAATATTTTAGTACAAGAAGAGATTAAAAAGAGGACTAAAAGAATAGAGAGTCCTGATATATATTGAGTTTGATGTATAATTTAGAAACCTAAGTTTTTTGGGCTGAGTTGATGTATTGATATATGCTAACCCTCACTGTTTTTACCCAGATTTATTTTTAATGAAATTTTAACTTTGTATCAGAGTCAAGATTCATGAAAAAGAAAAAGAGTGAATAAAAAAGACGATTGAAAATTTTGATATGAATAATTAAAAAATTAAGCTAAGATGAACTTGGTAATTCAAGTGAGGTACAAAGTTTACATACAATCTATCATTATAAATAAAGGGGAAATTATCACGACCCGAGCGTGATGATTTAATTGATCTATTAATTTCGTTTGGTCTAAATTACTGATCAAAATGTTTAAGCTAAAGTTAGTAATAGTACTGAGAGTGTTACAAAGATAGTTTAACCATATGAATAGAAGGAGATGTTAGGAAATATAAAAAAGAGAAGTAAAAGAATAATTTTACATTCATAAATATTAAAATACTCTGACGATATTGATATATATTGATCCTAATTAGTTTAATTGATATACATCATTAATAAATTTATAACAACAATTAATGGTGGCCTGTTGTGACCTTCACAATATATTATAAAAACTTTAGAGTTGTCAATTATATCCATTATAGTGAATCTTCTAATCCTTAGATCTCACCAAGTATCCAAATCACTGTGCTTTCTTTTCTTTTGAGTGCTGACTTAAAAGGACAATTCAACAGTAACAAGAAATCTTATGGTTAAATCTGGAGTCATCTAAACCTCATCCTCAAGTAGAAATGGAATGATCACCATCGGAGAAGATTTCTTTCTCTTTTATTATCCTTACAGCACCTCTGCAATGAGATTCAATTAGAATCCAGAAGGCTTGGGATCAACTAAGAGAGCCTGAGCTAAAGGTCTTGCTTGTTGTATCAGAAGAACAGGTAACATGGTCAGAGAATTGGATGGTGTCTGCGATGTGCCTACGTGCCTTTCGTTGAGTGCATGCGTGAAGAGTATGTATGACACAAGAAAAGAAATAGTTCTTTGCGTAGCTTAGATTGCGATAATACAAGCATTTTAGGTTATACATTACTCATGAAGGAAATCAAACATTTGAGACCCAATGTTTTCTTATATCTCAGTAGATGAGAGCGTTTGCTGATCCCATTCAGATAGCAGGAACTGTTCGTGATGGCCGGCGAGTGGAATCCTTGAGCTCAGTAGCTGCCGCTCCATGTCGCACCCTGAAGCATGAGGTCGGGGTCGGAGAACCGTAACGGGACTCCTCGTCACCAGTTTTGGAGGAGGAGGAAGATGGCTTGCGGAACACCTTCAAGGTGAGCTTGGGCAGTAGGGTGTGGATGAGGCTGGTCTTGGTGGACTTCTTGCAGCCATCGTGCCTGGGGCTGGGGAAGGAGGAGGGCGGTGGCGTGAGGGGAGGGAGGGTGGTGTTGGAGATTGTGTTCTTGGGTGTTCCAGGCTGAGACTCCCACAAGAAAGGCACAGCTCCTTTAGCATCTCCATAGTACACTCCCAAGGAAGGATTAGCTGAAGAGCTCTCCCTGGAGATCAGCGTCGTGTAGAACTTGTCATCCTGCTTCATTTGGATGAAGTCCTTGCAGATCTCTGAGCTACTGGATATCATCTTTTAGAGAGAGAGAGAGAGAGAGAGAGGTAGTAGTAGTA